CACAAAGGCAGTGGCTTTTTAATGATTTCCACGCATGAAATAACTCTGCAAAATCCCGTGTAAACTCACCATGTATCTTCGTAAATACAACCTTCAATCGAGGTCCGCTGATTAAACCAATCGACCGCGGCGGTTAAGAGGGGGCTTAAATAAAAAGTTGAGGCAACTCTCTCGTGTTCCCAACAAATCAGCACTTAACGTTAATTACGATTTTTTACGCTGATATGGCATTTAAATGATTTTCCCTCGCATTAACTGCAGGGCAGGGCCACGGCGGGGAGAGATTAATGAAATGCACGTCCGCCCCTGGAAACAAAACTTTTGTTGGCAATTGACTGCAGACAGTGGCGGGGGAGAGAACAGTACCCACATACACCCGGGGGATAGCGTATGCATTTGACATTAACTGCGCAGCTCGGGGATCCCCTTGTTTTAAAAAATGTCGCTCCAATTCGCCGCTCGGCTTTGCTCCTGCTCCCGTTGTGGCCTGAACGTTTCATATGCAAATTAGTGCTAGCGAGCGAAGGAACGGAAACAAAAAGTACCTCAAAAGTTCTGGAGTCCTGGCTGCTGTTGTTGACTTAATTGTGCGCGCATTAAATTGCTTAACTGGAGGGTCCTTCAAACGGGGCAGCCCTAACGTGGCCACTCTAACATGTTTCGCATATTCTGGATTTAGTGTTCCATTATATTTTTTACCAAACCAAGGATAACTCTTTAACTCCTTTCACAGTGCTCCATTGTCTGTAGTTCCAATGTGATATCTAGGCCTGGCTTTTTCTTGATTCCCCGAACAGCCTCCGTATCTCGTGATGCCCTGGCCACGCCTCTGTTGGCCCGGATCCGCCCTCCCATCATTACATTTCATTAAGCTTAGGGCCTGTGCTGGCACTGTTCCTGCTCCTGTCTCTGTTGCTTTTGTGTTTATTAAACGCTTTTCGGGGCGCGTGTTCATTCAATTTGTTTCTGCTGCCGCTCTTGTTCCTGAATGCCGAATGTTATGTCTACATGCCTGCGTCTAAATAAACAACAACAATAACGAGAACATCATCTCGGGAGCGGGTGTGCGTGTGTTTGTGGGCCGTTGTGAGGAAAATCGTTTTAATTGTTGTGTTTAAATAACAGACGAGGCAGAGTAGGAGTCTGTAGGCCGTAGCCCGAAGCCCCGAGCCCGGAGCCCCGGAGCCGAGCAGGAATTGGGGCCAACATGGAGAGCGTGTGTCACGGGGGCGTATACTTAATATGACGCATACGCCGCATGTCGCCGCTGCTTTTGTGTGTTTCGCTTTCGCTTGTTTGATGTCGTGCGACCGACTCACATAAAAGCAAGCAAAAAACAAAAGACAAGAAGCAAATAGTTCTCTGAAATTTTGAGCGGCTTTACCGAGAAGCAAAAGTGAGTCCTGAGGCCCAGGGAATATTCAATTGGAAACATAACGTGGCCCCGAGCTGGCGCATTACCTTGGCAATGGGCTTTGCAATAAGAGCGTAAATATTAATTCCTTTAATTCCAATATTTACTTCTAAGAAACAACAGATTAAAGCCCAGTCAGAGCTCTGACCTTCTCCGGCTAGGCCAAGTGCAAAAGTTTCCTCTGTTTTTATTAATTCCACGAGCATAGGAAAATTTATTGAAAATGCCTGTTGGCAGGACACGTAGCAAAGAAACTTTTGCCAGCAAAACGCATTTCTTGTTGTCCTGTTTTTTTCGGTACGTGAGCTCCGAGGAAAAAACAGCGTAATTAAAAACGAGAAGTCGTCGGCGCGAAAGCTCTTGATATGTGCTGCTTCTGTAACGAAGCGAATACTGGCTAGAGTGGGATTGGGAGCCACGAAGGCAGCGCAGGCAGTGCTGGTGCTGGTGTGGATAAATTTAGACAGCTTTTGCCATCTGATATGATAAATCTACTTAATCCAATAAACAAACAGCGGGGGGCGGCCAAAATTGAAGCGCTGCGTTGCGATGCGAGAATGCGAATCGTGCGTGCGCAGCAAGCGACGGAAAGTGCCAAGTTTTAATTGTGAAAGTTTAGCAGGAGAACAGGATCTAGGATTGTGGGAGGCTCTGAGTGGCAGGGGGGGCGGAGAGGATGGGCGGGGAGCTGCCACACAGACACACTTGCACAGCAGGTGTGGCAAATTGCTGCCCGCACTGGGACATCGAAGCCCGCATGCGACAAGCCATGAATTCAACTTGTTCTCCCGCCAGAAGCAAGGATCTACAGAGAAAAAAGGAATCATAGGAACTACATAACCAATAAAAAAATTTGGTCTTTATAATAGTCAGGAATTTAAACCAGAAAAACTATTCTCTATTTTAAGCTATCAAACTTAAATTGAAATACTTTTTTCTCTGTGTATTGATGTCCTGTCGCTCTGCCTGCTGCCGACTAGGCTGTCATTTCACGTTACTTGTCATCAACTTCATGCGTTTTGACATTTTTATTAGTTGAATACTCCTTAGAAGCACGCTCCATTGCCTCGGCTCTCAGTTCTAGATTCTGTATCCCGTATCCTGTGCTCTGGGCCCCGAGTCCCGGGCTGGTGCTAGCCTGTGACGTCTAATAAGTGTTTACTACGTCATGAAGCGCCAGCAGTGCTTTAAAGCATCCCACTGGCTATGGCAGCGAGGGAGAGTGTTTCCCAGCATGTCCTTTCACAAAAAGTATGCCCCGGGTCTCGACAATTCCCCAGTCAATAAATATTGAACAAAGTGTAAGCGATTTTCGTGTTTTTCTAGTGTTTGATTAATTGTGTTGGCAAGGGGTTCTCCAGTTTATGAGAGAATGTGAAAATACACAATTTAAAAGACTTCTACTAAAAAAAAACTTAAAATAAAGAACAGAGACTTCATCATTTAAATATACAGCAAGATTATTTAGCCAATTATTTAATTACAAGTGTTGAAAGTCACTTAACAGGCCGGCAAGGCAGCTATTAAAATATTGCGGAATTGAATCGATCGTGTGGCCAAACATTTTTAAAGGATTGTTTTACTGACATTATGCAACCTTTCACGTCAAAAAAAAAAAATCCCGAACTATGCCAGCGGAGGCTTTAATATATGCAATTAAACTGTGCAAACAAATAGTGAAAACAGCAGATGTTAAATAAACATTCGCATTAAACTCAGATGCGGCCTGATGAAAATCGAGTAAAACACGGTCTACCATTTAACGCGCTCTGTTTATTTGGCGTAAACCGAACAACCAATTTTATTGGCGCTCCAACTGGAAAAATACCCTTTGAGCCACACGGAAGGGCAATGGCGGGCATTCGGCGATTCAAGAGTTGGAACTTAGTTTAATTATAACAATTTGCGCTGCAAACAAAATACCATAGTTGAGGTAAATCACAAACTTTGATCTCGAAAGCCAGTGCTGGCGCTTTCCTTTCGGCGCTGGGATTCGCAACAAAGTGCAAACTTCAAAGAAGGCACATTAAAAGTGTCCTCGGCAGGACTCTCGCCTTAATGCTAATAGAGTGCCAGAGGTAGATGGCGAGAAGGGAGGGCGGCAAGAAATTGCCAGCGATATTTATGATGGAGAAATACCCAAAGTCATACAACGACCTCAATGTCCATTTGCTAAAGTTGCCATAAAAGAAATGCCCGGGCCAGTCCTTATTCCTTTTTCCCCCCCATCGGGAGAGTGGGGAAAAGTTTTAAGCATCTGGCGTTGGTCCAAATGAAGGTAAAAGGCAGCGAGCGAAACTTTTAAATGAAATTTTTGTGTTAAAGTTTTGTCAGGTGAGGCCACAGGTAAGCAGCCACGCAATGCGACAACAGCCAGCTGGCTTAGGGTCAGCCGACCGACCGAGGAGCCGCCTTGGAACCAGTTCGGCTCCACCGCAGGACCACAAACCCACAGCGGCGGACCACAGTCGCACACCGACGCACATCGACCCAATGGAGGAGACAAAGTTGCAGCCTGTATTGTCACGTAAAACGGTGACAGATTCCAAAGACGACGATGGCAGCCAGGCAAATAACATTAAAACAACAAACAACAATGGGCCATTCCAGCGCCAGGAGAGCGGGTGTCATCATCATTACACTGGAGAAAACCGGGCTTCAAAATGGGGAAAAATAATGAGACACAATGATAACAATGATCACAATGAGACAACAATAATGAAATAATGAATCGTTCTTCAAGAATAGGCTGGAAAGGACTTTTTCGTAAGGACTCTGCTGGTACTTTTTACATCAAAATCCGATTTCTTCCAGTGTTTTTTGGATATGACAGTATCTCCCTCTTTCCTGGACGTGAATGAAACTTTCGTTCTGTGACTCCAACGACTTAATGGCAGACCCACACACCTACAGCCCCGAATCCGGCCAGACCCTCCCACTGCGACTGTGTTCCTCTGTCCGCAAAATGAAATTAGCAACACATGCCGGCCCAGAACCCGGGACACCCCTCGAATGAAAAAACGCACTCCCCCCCATTCCCATTCAGCAACAAAAGGAGCAGCGCCTTCGTTTGCATTTAAAGTAATTACAAGAATATTTCCCTGCATATGTTTGCCACGAGGAGGCGAGGATATGTGTGGGTTCCCGGCGCTGCCTAATGCTCGGTTAGAATTATGACAGCCTCGGCTGCTTAAGCCCCGAAAGAGCTAATGCGTTTTTAAATATGCTGCAGCGGAAGCTCGGTCGGCATTAATTAACAGCCCTCCCAGTGCAGCCCCGGCCGCTGCGGCTTAGGATTTGGTCGGGAGCGAAAAGGGTTTCCTAAACGACTGCCAGACTTTGCGGCTCGTCCTGATATAGGGGTTGTGCGCGAGTACGGAGGTCTGGGGAAATTGCTCTATATTTTATGTGACATTTAGAGGCCTAATAGGATTTGCGTTGGCAACGCGTTGAGCTCGCACGGTGGGATGGGCATTAAAATCCTGGATACTTTTCTACGAAAATCTTGTGACCTTGCCTAGCGGGATATTTCTTCTCGAAGGAAGTAATACTTAGTTTTAAGGATAAGATTTAATCTGGTGCTCACCTGTTGATGACTTCCTTGCTTTCTCACGCCCGGACCTCACGGCGTATACTTGATATTTGTTGGGTTTTCTGCAAACACTCACGAACACTAGCACAAGTATTTATTAAGCCCGCACTGGAGCGCACTCGCGACACGTAATTCCTTCTTTAATTTCAATTTGTGGCACGCTTGTATGTTTGACACTCTCCTTCCAGCAGACGGAGGCTCGCAAAAAATCTTGACGGTAATCATGCAATAAGCCGCACTTGTAGAACACACACACTAGGGTCAGCCTTCGTCCGTTCAGTTCCCTTTCTTGTCTCTGCGGCGGCGAGGTCCTCGCTGTCCTGTCTGCCTTTGTTGGCGAAAGGAAACAGCTTGAAATGCTATTAAAATATAATCTTCTGATAATCTGCACTTAATTTCGTGCTCTACCCCAACGGAGAGCGTATTAGGCAAGAAAAAGACGTTTATGTGTCCTGGCCGTCAGCTGCTTCATCCTGCTTCTCATTGTAGTGGCGTTGGGGCCTGTGCTTTATTTTTCTCTGCTTTTCCAGGCGAAATCTTTTAATTTTTTCCACTAAAAATTGTTCTCTCACTTGGCTACTCCACCCGCTTTGTTTTTATTTTTATTGTAACTCGCATTTGCTTCGAGTTTCTGTTCCTTTTTTTTTACATCCACGTGGGTTTTTTGTTGCAAGGATTGTGTAAGTTTTACGCTCCGTTGGTTTTTAATGTTTTTCGGTGTGCCCGTGCCCGTGCAACAAACTCGTTCATGTGCGTGCGTGTTGATTTCCTCCGCTGCTACCTTTTGATATACTCGCACCGACGTCCTCTCTATTTTCCCGACGCTTCCTTTTCAAACTCGTCCATTGCCTTCGTCCTTTTTGAAATTTATCAAATTTTCGTTTCCCGTCCTTTCTATTCTTCGTTTGGGGTTTTCACTCCTCCTCACGTTTTTTTAATCAAATTTCCACTTGATTGGAGTGACGACAATTTCGTTGATTTCCGGTTGATGTTGAGGCTTCTGTTTTGGCGAGGAACCCAGCACGGGGAGCGCAGAAATGGAAAAAAAAGGAAAAATTTAGTTAGTAAAATACATTTGCCTCGGAAAGTTTCTATACGACTAAGTAAATAAACAGTTTTTCAATATGAACGTTTTTTTCTGGCAGAGTGGAGCAGCCAAAGCCAGACCCTTTACCCACAAAGAATCGTTTAATTTCCTTTTTAATTTAATTCAAGGCTTTCTGAGCCTCGCCTCTTACTTAATTTCCCAACTTCCGCATTACAGTTCCTCCCACCGCTACGTCTCTTTCTTCCGTTCTCGCCCTGCTGATCCTCTTAACAGGACACTGCCTGGCTGGCACATGAAAGCGACTCCATATAACCAAACTGCAGCGTAGCATTAACACCTACACCTACCACGCAAACCCACACATTTGAGAAAAAAATCACAAAATGTTTTCCATTTTCGTTGATTTCGTTCCAAGGACTGGTTCCCGCTGTCGCCTGCATGAAATTATAATTGTATTCTCATCTCACCGCAGACAGTAAAACATTTAATTTCCTCCTCGCGGATGCCGGCGATAGAAAGGCGCAGGGCAGGCGCTACAGCCCGCTATAATTCCTTCCGGTTATTTTTGCCGCCAAATGGCGCTTCGTGCTTCTAATTCCGCGCCAAACCTATTTACCTCACCCGGGCCCCTCGCATGTCCTTCGGAGATTTCAAAACGAAAAAAAGACCATAAAGAAAATTACAGAAAAATTAAATCACTTCGCCCCTCGTCAACACAACACACTCCCGAGTATCAACGTATTTCTTCCATTTTTTGTGTGCTCTTGGCATTTATGCTTCATTTATTTTTGATGGTTTTCTGGCAACGCAAATGTTTAAGGAGAAACGTTAAATGGTTTATTCGAACATTCTGCGACGCAAAATATTATATGCACTTGTGTTTCTTTACGGCCCGGAATAATGGCAAATGTAATGGGGATTAAGAGCAAAACGTATTCTGTTTAAATTCAATATTTGCCTGGGCATTTTCGAGCCAAGCAAATTGAGTTGTGTAAATTGGGGAGAATCCTCAAATTAATTTATTGATGCTCAATGCCCAATATTTCCGAATCAAAGTCGAACTGTCGGCAATTAGTTCCGGTTAAGACTCAATCAAATAATAATCTCCAGCTGCACGACTGAAGTGCATGTCAGAATCCTTTGGGCGGATTACTTTGGTTTATTGGTGACTGTGCACATGAGAGTCTACTCGTAGCGAGATATATTTTAATATTTTCTAGGCTCTGAATCAACCTCAACCCCTTGATCGTTTATGGGCCCTTTGCACTGCTGCCCGAACTAATTAGTTTCCATTCAGGCGCAATAATTTATTAGCTTTTCAGATCCGTTGACATATTTCCGAGTGTCAAAGAGATGTCGCTAATTAATTAAATTATTTTAAATACCTGCGTGGCTTCAGAGGAGCAAGCGCGAGAAGTGTTAGCGAACCAAACGAAACCCAGATAATAAAAATTCATCAACTGTCGTTTTATGATTTTGCTGCTTTTAAAGCCGCCAGTACGAGAGCTGCACAAACACAAAATGTCCCCAGTCTGCGGTCTCGTTTTCGAACGCATTTTAATGAGGTTTCCACTGGAGAGGGGCGGAGGAGGTGCAGACTGTATTAATTAAAAAAGGGTTTCCATGAACTCTGCGCCGGGGCGAAAATGTCAACCAGGCGATGACCCCGAAAGGCGAAAAAACTGTAACTGAAACTCTCGAGCAGCAGCGTTTAAGGCTCGCTTTAAGGTCCTTTGCCTTTGCAGAAAGTGTTACACGTGTCCTGTCAGTGTGTGTGCCTGTTTGTACATGAACTGGAGGCCCGAGGCTGCGGAAAACGCAATTTCAATTTTTCCAGGGTGAGAAAACGCCCTTCGGTCCCTATATATTTCTTGTACCACCCATACACGAATGAAAAAGTATTGTTCAGATTTAAAATAAAATAATGATAATATTTGGAAAAATATTTAAACATAAATCGGAGATAAATCGGAGATATAACTAAGATATTTATAATATTAATTTTGATTAGATGCATATGGGAAAATCTAATTATGAATGAAGGATTTCCTCTACACAATGGATTTTAAAACTTATCCAAAATTTAACACTCTCAATTTAAGTAGTTAGGCCTATTTCTTTTTATTTTTATTCCCCATTATTTTCTTCCTGTGCATTAGCTTTAATTTCCGCATGAATGCAAAGCAAAGGTTTTTCGGCAACAGCAAAAAGGTTTGCCCTTCGCATGTTGACTTGTCTTGCGAGTCAGAGCCAGACTCGGGCCCATAACAATAACAGAAAACAAAAGGCAACCGCCCGAACCTGAGGCGCAATCTTTTGTGGCGTCTTCCCAGAACCAGAACAGACCGACCTGAAGACCAGAAGAAACCTTTTCAACTTGATTAATTTCCCACAATTTAAGTTGATGAGAGGGGCTGGCTGGATGACTGGATGGCTGCCTGGCTGAACGAAAATTTAGAGGACCCAGTTCAAATATCCTGCAGGGCGTCTGGTGTCTGTTGGCCACTTTGTGATTTCGGTCCGGATGGCTTTGCGAATGTGTTGCGATTAGGTAAACGGGCCTGCGATTTGATTTATCTCAGGAGGCAGCCCAGAAACGATGCTGGGATTACGTTTCAGCCCGAAAACAAAATCGCCTCACATATACCATTCAGAGTTGCGTTCAATTACAAACAATTTGCATGATGCACCGAAAAACGCCGAAAATAGTTTCTCACAACAGCGAACACTATTCCCAAGGCTCAAGCGGCATTACTCATACGCCAGGTTGTCCAGCAATATTCTAAAACTAATTTCTGCCGCTTGGCCAACTTTTCCTGCTCGCACTTCCTTTGCAATCGAAAGGAAAAATATTGAAAAACAAGCAAAGTTTCGTCTTCTTCACAGTTTCCCATCGGTTTTTGTTGGTGTTCTGTTCAATGATTTATTGGCCGAAATGGTTTTTGTTTGCCAGTCTTTGCCAGTTGTTTGCTTGTTTGTGAGCTGTTGTTTTGGGCCCTGCACTGGGCCAAAGGTAAAAGAACTTTGGCGAGTTTGAAATGTTGCCAATATGTTTTTATGGCCGTCGCTCGGCATTTAGAGCAAAAACTATGCCAACTATTCGGCTGCTTGTAAATGGAAGAGTTTCTGCTTTCTGCTGCGAAAAATTCACTGCCGGAGGAAATCCATCAATAAAATTCTTCGCCGAGCACCAGGCCAGGTTGTTTTTAAGTTTTTGTTACTTTTATGTTTTGTGGGCTTAGGAAAAAAAATCCAAAAATAAGATATGATTTCATTGTTGGTAAGTTTGGGAAGTTTAAATTTATTTGTTGGTTTATGAATTTTGTTAAAAGTTAGAAGAAGGACCTTGGGTTTTAAAAATTACATAGTTTTCACAATAAATTTTAACCAAAACACTTTTGAGGGAAACTTCTTGTTATGTTTGAATATCAATTTCCAATTATTTTTGTCTTGGCCATATTTTAGGGTTTCACACAAACTCTTCTTACTTTTTAAGCGACTGCCTTGTCTTTTATTTTCAGCCTTAGCATATGCCGTGCTTATCTGTTTAATATTGTTAGAAATTTAAATCCTTTTACCGAGTTTTTCGAATCGTTTTCTTTTTGTTTACTTGGCCCTGCTGGCAGCTGAACAATTAACGTTCCACCGGTTCGCTTTGGGATGCCTCGGCCACCGAAAAGTATCTCATACGCACTGTGTTCACCCACTGACACACTCACACACGCTTACGCACACGGACGCGATGCGATGCGATGCTATGCGAACGCGGTGCTCGACTCTGGATTCTGGGGAGAGCGCAGCAGCATCGGGCTCCTTTGTGAACGGAGGCTGGAGCTTGACTGAATCGCCGCGGTTAACTAGCCAGCCGTCGAGGATGGCAGGACCTACTACAAGGCATCTGGCCAAAACCGACGAGGCCGAACGGAAAAAGTCAGCAGCAAGGAGCGAACGAAGCGCCCCGGAGTGCCAGCAGAATTCCGAGGATGTTGCCAGCGAACTTCTGCCTATTACAGCATCCCTGCAAGAGCTTTCCAGGATGTGCTTTCTCCTTAAGAGAAAGTTGCTAATGGCAGAGAGTGGCAGAAGCTTGCAGCCCACATTCAGCGTCCTGAGCAGAGAGCGTTGGGAGAGAGCTTTCCCCAAGCTTTCGGCCAGACTGTGTTGCATTTTGTTAACCATGTTGTGTAGTTTGATTTAAATGTTAAACGGTTGGGGTTTGAGATATCAGAGTTATAAGAAATTGGTTTTGAGATCATAATATTCTTAAGATATAACTAGTTTTCATGATGATAGTCATAGTTTTTTAATGATTCCTTATAAAGGAAATATTTTTCCATCTACTATACTGGAGCTGTAGATGGCTAATTTTTTAGTCCTTTCGTTGGTAAAAGTGCAACCAGCTAATCACAAGCGAAGATTCACAAATACCTAATCACAGTTGCCTAGGAGGCTAATCAATGAAGCCCGAACCGGTACGCTTGGTCTGGCCGAAATGAAAAGCTGGCCTGAATACCCCACGCTGGCCAATGGACAAATTTGTCCACATGGCTGAGTGGCAGACAGCGCTAATTAAACCACATGAACGGCAACCACGGCGGAGGGCAGTGGCCCAAACCAAGGCATTAAAACTGATATAAAGCCTGAAAAATCAGTGGGGCACGCAGGCGGGCGGGCGCCCAAACACTTGTTCCAGCTTGCAAGCCATTAACTGTTTTGTTTGGCCTGGAAAGGAGATCGGCAGGGACTCTAAGAGGGGAGTGAAGAGGCGGGTGTGTCGGGGAGTAATGGCAGGAAAAATTGGGAGGTGCCACCTTGATTGTATAATGGAAGGACGCTGCCTAAATGCAGCCCCGTGTCCTGTAAGTGACACGTAGAGACAATCGAATTGTGATTTGCCACAGGGCACCGAAAAGAGTGGCGGCGGGGTGAGGGGAGGCCACAGGCTGCCACAGGATCCAGCCCCCTGTCCATGGGGCACTCTGTCAAAGTGGCAGAGCCATCCAGCCGAGTCAGTCGAGCTAGCCGAGCCGTCTGCTGCTCCACTTCCTTGAACTGTTTCTGGCCATTAAGTGGCGCACATGTTTGTCTCACACCGTGCCTCGTCGCCCCCTTCCGGCCCACTTCACTTCATGCCACTCCATTTGGAGCCTGCCAAAAAGGAAGCGGCCAACGCCAGGTGTCTTTGCATTACACGGAGAGAAATCTGGAGTTCGTATACGATATAAGGCAATAAAACTTGAAGAGAAAGTGTGGATGTTTAATGTTGATTAAGGACTTCTGGGTATCGCAGGTTCTAGGAACTCTGACTCTGACTTGGGGCAGAAACATACAATATGTATCGTGTTACGCCGTAAAAGCAGATATTGTAGATTGCTAAAAAAGATACAAAGCGGCAGCAACAACTGCGATAATCTACATAAAAGCGCGATTCAGAGGCTTCCTCAGCACCATGGCTCTGCTTCCCACTCACCGCTGTGGCAGGGCGAGGAAAAAACTTTCCTTGCGCGCCAAATGAAATGTAAGCAGGACGAAGAAATCCTCACGGCTGTCCTGGCAACTGACGCACAGTCCTCACTGTCATATATCATAGTTTTCTATGTGTGTGCTTCTCGTGTCAGAGGACAGGACGATTGCCCATCCCGCTCCCCATTCCCATTGTTGTGGTCAGCGGGGTTTTTTCATGATTTTTTCCCAAAGAGCACAGAGAAACTTTTCCTCACTGCTGTCTCTTATCCAGTAATAAACTTAAATTGTTATTTTACCTTGAAAGCGCCACAAAAAGATTTACGGTCGTCTTGGCACCTTCCCCGTTACCCCGACCACGCAGCACTTTTCAGCCCCGTCCCTGGTTTCCTTTGTGGCTCTGTTAGCGTTTTTATGCTCATTACTTCGCATTTGTGCTGCCTCCTCTTAGCCACTGCCGCTGTCGTTGTCTCCACCCTCTGGTTTTCATCAGCCCCCGGCTTTAAGCGAGTCTTTCGTCCTGCCGAAAGCTTATTTTGATTTCTATCCGTTTGTTTGTTGTTGTCGCATATTTATTAGGCTTTATATTATGATGTCTAGAAACCGTCCAGACAATTTATGCCTTCCCATAAGCAGGGTCGAGCGACTTGGAAGGATGGGAAGGAGCCCTAGGAGGGATTTCGTGTTCCAGAACCCCAATCAATTGGCTTTTTATTGGGGCAGGCTTTCTGCCCAAGAATCAGACAACCCTTTGTACTTTTTCGTGGAAATGTAGTGTTTTAATATATTGATTCAAAGTTTAATCGGTTATGGCTTTCTCACTTCGCTCGATGACTCATTATTATCGCATTACTGGCTACAGAGTTGCATACTTTTGTGGCCACTGGTTGTCAGCGCTGCTCCTCCTGGCGCATTATTAATTAAATGCAAAATGTTTACACTAATAATTTCAGCATGAAATGTCCTCCCGACTCCCCCAGCCATCGCATTCAGCCCAGCCAACACCCTGAATGGCAAACGGAAGCCGACATAAATTTCGCCTTTGCTCGTGCGTTGCAAGGCGCGAGTTGCAAGTTGCAAGTTGATGGTGGCTGGTTGCTGGTGGCTGGTTGCTGTTGCGGCGGCCACAAATTGTGAGTTATCTTGGGTCCCCCAGAACGGCATCCTCCGCGGCTGTTAAGATTGCCTTTGTTGTTTCTGCTGTTGCCGCTGCATGCAAACACATTAAATTAAATTATTGTCACTGGGCGGCTGCATCCTTGCAGTTCGCATCCTTGCCGCTGCTGGCTTGTCCTTGTAGCTGTCGTTATTGTCCTCGCCTTGCTGCAGCCTTGTCGCCTGGCTTGTAGCGCTTTTCGCACTATTCCGGGTGGAAAATGGGCGTCCCTATGCAAAATGGCTTCATCCCGGTTCGAAAAGTTCCTTTCGTTTTTCGGCTGGGACGCGATTCATTAGACATTTAGGCATTAGGGACAGGACAGCGAAGGACCCCTCCAAGAAGAATAGGTCCGCGGGGAGGCATTACAATTCACCGACAATCCCTTTTCGGAGATAAAGGCACGAAGGAGTTCGGGTGTGAAAGAGCATTGAAATTAAAATTCCAAATCGATGGAAGGGATAGTTCTGAATAATAAAAGTTTCAGTTTGATTTCCCCCTTAAACTACATGATTTATTTAAGCGAATACTAATTAAATTATTCAGGAACACTGCACTATGGTTCAGACGACCCCTTTATTTGGCAAAATATAATATCTCGAGAACGGCACCATAGTTTTAAAAGAAAATAATCGTGGTAACTTCATGTAAATCGTGGTTATACTTAAAACGTAAGTCGTTTATAGGGGCCACAGGGATGGAAAAATCTTCCTCAATTCTCACCCGATTCTCAAGCGGAGTGAGAATCTTAAACGATTTCTGGATTAATTCTCCACCATTCTGCATCAAAACCCTGAGACAAAATATTTTTCAAATTTTTTGTCCATTTTTCGTGATGGGTCCCTTGAAAATGGGGTTTTCCCCTATAGGGGCCAAAGGGATGGCTATATCTTATATCTATATTTATGTCCCACTTTAAGGAATTGTAAAAAATTAAAACTTTGACTTTGGCCACGCTTCAAAAAACTTGTATTTTTTATCTCAAATTGGGCTTGTAATATGACAAACATTAAAGAATGCACGCAAAAGTGCACTATTGGATGGTATGTATTCGAAAGATACTTAAATACCCTTAAACATGAACCATACCTTATGGTTTGACTATGTTGAACTCGTCTTTTATGTCTACTCAAACATTAGAAATCAGCACTAGTTTAAATCTGATATCTAGAATCAATTTGTAGGCATATCACATTCGATTTTTAAGATGTAAGGATATCAATTTAAAAGACTTAAGTTTATTTGGCTTAAGAGAGTTAAAATGATTTACTTTAGAGGGTTGTAGCTCAACAGTGGCACCCTTTACAAAAAATCATGTTACATACCACTAACCGTTGAAGACGGTTAGACTTAACACTTAATTATCCAATTTTTTCAAATTTTCAAAGTTCAATAAATGAATTTTCTAAAAAAAATGATTGTCTGAACCATTGTGCCTTGTAGAGATAACAGTTTTTATGTCCTGTGGAAACTATTTTCCATGCCTTTCATACTTTTCAGCGCTTTTCGCTCAACTCTGCCGAGCTCATTAGACTATCTGCGGATACCAACGCTTTTGGCCACATTTTAATAGCCCCAAACGCGATGGCCAACAAAGACACGCACCCTCACAGATGCACGCACTTTGAGCCCTTTTTTATGGTCAGTGTAATTCGGTTGGGGCTCAGTCGTGCAAACCGCTGACTTTGGTCACTCCTGGACCTGCGGCAAACTGCGGCAAGCTACCGACAGTGCAACGCATTAGCTTCGCCACGCTGCCCCCTTCGATGCGTTTTAAGGCGCACCATTAGCAACTTGACTTTGGCGACTCAAAAGCATTTTAATGAGCCACCAGTTGAGGTCCCCGCCACTGTTTTTATTATTTTTTGTCACGTTCGTGCCGGGCAGCAATTTTGTTTCGGTCGTTTTCGGAAAATGCAAATTCTCCTTGAGTGACCGGCCAAAGTTGCATATTCATGGCGAAGAAATAAAAGCCCTAATGCATTTGCGTGCAGGAATTCTTTTGCATATTACAAGTTAAGCTAGTCGTAAAGCAGAAATATATGGAACAAAAATCACTCAACACAGAAATGCACTTTACCAGAAGCGACTGTACTGCTGGTACGTTTTGAGGGCTTACGAAAATAAAAAGTATCGAGTGGCTCCAAGCCAAGATAAAGTCCTACTCGATCTCGGAGGAGACGAAACAAAAGTTGGCAACCTTTGAAAAGGAGGTTTAGGAAGCAAAAACGACGAGAAAACATTTTCCATAAAACGAAATGAAAATGAAAATTGTACAACTGCAGACGCAGCTAAGAAAACATTGGACGGAAAAAGTGGGTTAATTTGCCAAAGGATAGGTATAGTGGTGTGTGTCTGAGGGCGCGTCGTATGTGCACATGTATTGACTCACTCACATAATTGCCAAAGCGTGCACATTTTCATTGTTATGAGCTGCCTTTTGCTGCCAAAGTTTCCCTTCACAGGAACGGGGTGGAAGACGAGGCGCCTAGAACGGAGGGCGAAAGCTTTTTGCAGTTTAAAGCGTTCTGCTCTGCATCAGCTTCCTTTAACCGGCACAACACAATCGCAGGAAGTATGCTTTGACCCGGGACAGGACACTGCGGCGCCGGCAGATCTGGGAAAAGGCTAAAGGACAATGTGAGCTAATCCCTGGGGCAAGAATGTGTGGCGGCGGAGAAAAAGAAAAATTATTAACAGCTTTCACTGGAAAAATGGTAAGGCTTTGAGTTTAAAATTAAAACTTAAACACCGAAGCTGCACAACTTGTACAATTTTTTATAGAATTCACCCTCCTAGCTTATCCTCATTTCTAAATAATTTTCACCTTATTGAAAACATGAGCTTTTTTGATACTCCCATTGAATAAAGTAACTCTCTAGGCGCCCAAAATCGCCTCGCCCATAGCGCCGTTTCCAGCCATATTGGCACTGTCAGTGGCTGTGACAGGGCCGCCTTGAACCACTCGTTTGCAGAGTCCCCAAACTAATTAGTAATTTATTTTTAGCGTTTGCCGCATATTAAATTTTGCGCAAAACTTAATTCATGCTGGCAGCGGTGGCAGCCGAGGCAGCTGAGGCTCTCGAGTGCTGGATGAAATGGCCGCCAACATGCAATTAATTGTGTCATTGTAGCCATTAACCAGACAGTTGAGCAGTAACCCAATTTGTTCGCTTGATTGTTGGCGGAAGGGGTGCTGATGGGTGGCGGTGGGGTGGCTGTGCCAGCCACTTGACCGCCCCTAATGGCTTGGCAATGGCGCTCGGTCAGAAGGCCATATTAGAGGCAACTGCCAAGGCAGCTCCAAAATGTTCATTGTGTGCCAGTTTGCAATTAAAACACCCCCTAAAATAAAAGGATATATGGGCGAAGGGCAGTGGGCAGTGGTAGACGGAATGTTGGCCACCCGAACGTTCCAGTTCGTGCCAGCTTCCACCATATGTCTTGATATGTCAGTTGTCATGCATAATGAACTAGTCTTGCTCCTGTTCGGCTTTCTTATGTGCGCACACCTTGCATTCGTAATGGGACTGCCTTTGAGAATAGAGGCTAAGAAGTAAGCTTGGCCTGAAGGACACAAAGATGCTTTTGCGATAAAGAAGATTCGCAAATTAGAACGGAAATTTAAGTTTTCCCAAAACTATAGACGTTCCGCTAAAGGATCTGATATAAATTTTGTTTGTATATCCAGGACTCATACTACTATATATTTATACTGCAAGGAGAAAACGAGGACATGGAAAATAGGTGTAGATTGGATCACAATTGACCCACAAATGTTTTAAGGTGTTCCACTCAAGGATCGGATGAATATTGGTCAAAATATGATCACCTCAAGGGGTCATGGGACCCACCCCATGCTGCTCCCTCCCAGATTTTGGTAGGAGGTCCTCCAGAAATATTTATAAAATCGGTCCGAAACAAGGATCAAATATTTTGATGCAGATTGATGGAACATTTATCTACAAGTTTTTTAAAGTATTCCTTAAGGCTCGGACAAGGTTATGCCAGGATATGCATTTTAAAATAATTTTTTTTTATTATTTTTTTGTTATTGTTTTATTTACTTTTTAGATATATATACCAAAATGTAGATGAACGTGTCTTTTTTTTTTATCAAATACTCGGTTCAATTATTGCTCCTTTCAAAACTTTCCTTCTAAATACTCAATTTGTCAATGGTGACCCTTCTTTGAAAGTAATCTGCAATGGAGCAACAAAACCTTTGACCCCACTCAAATTGGTTTTGGGATTCATAGTTCTATTCATAGTTTCTGCCCTAAACCAAATTATCTTTCACATGCTTATTTAGTACCGACTCAATACTTTAGCCTCGCCCAGTGGCTTTATTATGAGATATGTAGTTAAAGGGTGGCACAGACCCTTAGGTAGTTCAGCGTAAATTAGTAAATAGTTACTGTGTATCATTCCAACAATTTCTATTAATATTTTGTCAATAGAAACCTGAGATGCTTTTTAAAACATTTATTTATGTTTTATTATGTTTGAGGATTAAGAAGTTCAATTTTATTTGGAAATAAAATGTGTGTCACAGAGGATTTAGTTTTTTAATTATGCTTCCGTGCTACTGGTAGTGAAAGACAAAATATTTTGAAAAATTAAAGAACAAGATTTTATTTAAGACTTTTGGGAACTCATTAAGTAACGCGGACGGGAATTGCCAGCTAAAGGATGATGACAGCTGGCGCCATGGAAAACGGACAGGACATTATCTGGCCGGCATATTTGCCTGCCAGCCGGGTTGCAATTGTGACTTCTTTTGGGCGGCGATGCGGCCGACTCCTTCCCGGCCATAATTTGATCGTTAAAATGGCCCACACCGCCCTTGCATCGTTTGGCAGCTGCAATTAAATGTCGTTTTTTACGAGTCGACAGCCCTTGCAGTAGTTGTAATGAAATTAACATGGTGGCCGATGGGTCTGGGCTTTTCTTTTGCATTTCCTCGCCGAAGCTGATAAACGATCTGCGGCTCCGCCTTCTGGAGGTGAAGCCTCCGGGCTTTAAAAAGCCACTTAAAAGTAACATAAAACTGGCGGGGAAATGCCGTTCGTAAGAGCGTTAAATGGCTGGGATATAAACATACATGAGTCTTCATTTCGTCTTTTTTATGAATGGATTCCCGAGGTGACAGGAACTGAGACTGCGATGGTCTTCGCGGGTTTTTCTGCGCCATCGCGGGACATAATGGGTAGCGATGAGTGACACTGTTAAATCCCCCTAAAAAAAAAAACGTTAAACTTTAAGTTGAAGTTGTTGGAAGGAAGCCCTTCAGCCCTGGAAGCTATTAAAATGCATTTAACAAATCCTTTATTATATGAAAATTCACCTTTAAGGAAGGTAAGGAGCTATAATGAAGCTCTTAAATGATACCTGGGGATGGAAAGCCTTCATTTTGATCCCTAAAAAGAGAACAAATTTAAAATCGTAGCATGCCCTGGAAAATTTTCAACATTTTTCCTATAAATACTCGTGCGGAACAAAGAAATTTTCATTCGGAAGCTGCCTTCGTAAAGCATATTCCGACTTATTTAGTTTTTATTTTTATTTTATTGTTTTTGGATTTTAATCTACTGGAAATACAAAACTGAACTCAGTTAATATCAATCTCTGCTTCTGTCTCCTGTTATTACCTACACTTGATTTTTATTAGGGATTATTATTTTGCTTAAGGTTTTATGATTCTAAAATTTTTTAAAAATAATAATAATATAATAATAATATTAATTAAAAATTAAAATCCGTGGTCCCTTTTTTGAGATCGTAAAACCTTTTCTATGAATAAAACCCAATCAACTAATATTTTTGATAAGATATTTTTTTATTCTGGCTTAATCTAAATCTTCTATTTTTTTATTTTTATTTTGGCATTTTTTTTTTATCCAATTTTAGTTCCCTTTACATTGGTGGGGAGATCTCAGCCTGTTATTTTTTATTTTTACTTCTGTGGTTACTATTTTATATTTTTTAATGATGAACTGTAGTTTTGATTTATATCAATGCGGAAGCTTATAATCAAGTAAACAGTAATCAACCAATAATTTTTATTTGGTCAATTTTTTATTGAAGAACTTCACTGCCTTAATCTTAATTTCCTGTTTTGTTTTCATTGGCAATTTTTCCTTCAATTGAAGTACCCTTTACATTGATGGGGAGATCTCAGTCTGTACTTTTAAACAGTAATCACCAACAATTTTTTTTTTGCTCAATTTTTTATTAAAGAACTAAACTGGCTTAATCTTAATTTCCTGTTTTTTTGGTATTGGCAATTTTTTCCTTCAATTGTAGTTCCCATTACATTTGTGGGGTGATCTTAGTCTGTTATTATTTTACTTTTGGTTACTATTTTATATTTCGATGATATCAGTGCGGAATCTTTGCATATTGATTATATGTATAAGTAAATTTATTGCAGTAACTTAAAAAGTGAGAAGTATATGTGCAGCATACGCTGTTCTTATTTAGCTTTAGCTTATGTTAAATATTGTATTTAAATTTTGAATTATTATTTTAAAAAGGTATTTTCTTACTTTAATCGTGTATTGCTCTCCAAAGGGCGTTCAACCGCGGGCACAGGTGGTTCTTTAATTTGCGCCTTTGCAGGACGTCCTGTCAACGCAGCTGGCCACGCCCACCAGCCAGGATCTCCGAAACAGCCACAGGAGCAGTTTAGCTCCAAGTCCAAGTGAGCCACTATGTCAGTGGGTTCCCAGGAGGCCACTGGGACGAAGGGGACTGTGGCAATGTGGGGAGTAATTAACACTGCGACGCTGCCTGGCTGGATGGCTGGCTGGCTGGCGATGAGTAAACAATGGCAACCGGGAGCCGCAGTTGTTAATTACGGCAATGCGCTGCGGCTGAGGGCGAACAAAAGGGGGCGTGGCATAAGAACCGAGGGAAAAAATTAAACAAGGAAAGTGCCAATTGCTGTTGAAAGGAAGCAGCGAAATTAGGAAATGTCTAGTACGAGTGCGGGCCTGTAGTAGTGGCAGGATGTTGTTGCCCCTTTTATTTGTAGATAGAACATCCAACTTATTACTTTACAATTTACGGATGCTCCTATCCGATGGAGACGGGATTAAAATTCTCCATGAAAATTTACGGATGCTCATTAAAAGCGCTTCCAAAACTGGTAGAGAGTCCCATTGGTGCTAAAAATGCTTCGGAGCATGATGACCTGCAGCAGGCCGACTAAAATCATGGCCAGGAACTGGGCCCAGGACCAGTTGTTGACCATGGCGTAGTTGGACTCGGCCAGGTTCCTGTCCCTGGCTTCGTGTGCTCGGATAAAGTCTTGTGTCTGGCGCGACTTCATAATGCTGACTTGGATCTTTCCCATGTAGTCGTCGATGGCGGTGTATGCCTTGTCGAATTGGTAGTCCAAGAGCATCTCATCGCGCAGCTCTCGGAGCTCCGCCTCCTTTCGGTCTTTCGGAGTTACCTCCAAGGTGAAGCTGACTATCTTCTGGTTGAACGAGCTAATGGTGTTGTCGAAGCAGATCTGGTAGGCCCCAGTTTCGTAGGCCACCTTCTTGTGCTTTCCCTTGTCCTTCTTCGTTTCTGCGACCAGAACGTTTCTGCTGGGACTCATCAGCTTGAAGTTGATGTGGGGCTCTCCATGCCCCCCATGGATCACTTCGTATTCCAGGTGGATATTTTCGGTGGCGGCTATCGGGTGAAAGTAGCACTCCGTCCGTCCAGGCTCGGCGTAAATAGTCAACTGTTTGTTGTAGAGTTCCGAGCGTGAGAAATCCACGCTTTGAAGCACGAACACCGCCAAAATGCAGGTCGCGACGCGGAACATTTTCGAGTTACTTGTTCGACTAATCTGGCTGTTCTCTCGTCGGGTTTGTGATCTGCCTGTTTGGATTTGTAGATGTTTGTGGAGTGGCCTACTGCCGAAAGAGCAGCGCCAGTGAAAATCAACACTGAATTCCAGTTTCACTAAACTGAGTTTCGCAAGGCACGAGTGGAGTTTGCAAAGACATGGAGCGGGCGGACTGCTAAATGCAGCTTTTAATAGCCAACAGCAATTGCTGCGGCAGCTACAGCAACAGCAAACTGCATAAAGGACACACCAACAGCCGCACTCCCACCACCTGTCCGCTCCCCGCTGTCCACAAACTGGCAAAACTAAAAGCAACAGCATCAAAAGGAATATGAATTGAGGTCGATGTGTAAATATTTGTCAACGGTAATGGAAATTTATGCTACCGTAGCTGCTGTTGCCAATGGTTGGTGGGCGGTGGGCTGCTACGACACTGCTAATGGGCGTGGCAATGGCAGGGGCCACCTGGAGGGCCGAGAGTTTCCATATTTTTCACCGGAGCTAACGCAGCGCAATACAAAAGGGAAAAAGTTTAAGTCTTCGAGGCTGCAGAATAGCCATTACACTCTATCTAAACAACATACTATTGCTGGATTTTAGCCGTGATTTTGGGGCATCTGCAGTACACATTTGGGATTCAAATACATTTTAAAGTTCCTTAGAGTTATACTTTCTCTTTTAGGCCAAGCATTCAAATTCGCACTTTAGTTGCATTTGGAAAAGGCACTGAACTAACGCCAGACCCAGCAACGCCCCCAACATTTGACGCCCTCTGGCGCACCCCCACAATAGAAAAGCTAAAAAAAAAATGCATTCGCGACGTCGCTCAAGCGCCGCCGGCTGGCATACTCAGTCGAACTATGAAAGCTGCAAATAGGACGCGTAAAAAATGTTACCCCAGGTCGGCTGCCATCACCTGGTGGCAGTTGGGAGGTAGTCGAGGGCGCAAGTGGGCTGGGTGGGGGTGTGGTACATCTTACAGCGTGAATGTTGAAGGCGTTGGAAGCCGCACAGTAGCCGACACTGGATCCATGCTCGTTGGAGCTCACTGTATGGTGGCAGGACTGTGTGTTTGTGGGCGGGATGCTTTAGTTGATTGTTGGTTGGAGCCACCGAATGAGGAGGGTAGAGAGTTTCGTAGCGATGGAAAACCCGACCTGACGGAAGGACCAATAATTAGATACAATTTAGATGGCGGAAGTAAAACAAAAATACAAAATTTTTATCTTTGATGATAAAGAAATTTAATAAATGGCCACACATGCGAAATTGGTACACCTACCTTGCTTCTACCCCTTTTAAATGATAGAATACTTTAGTGTCTGGTGCTACATGAATCGTTATTAAACGGAAATCAAAACTGTCTTTTCAGGGCTTCTTTGAAATCACGCTGTTTGCCAGCGTTTAAGTATTCTTATTCGCTTGATGTTAGTTTGATATTTTTTTATACTTTTCAGCACTTTTAATGTGTTTTTTCGTGTGTTTTCTAATACTTTTTTAAAAACTTAAATTATGGCGTCGTGTCAGGATTTTAAAAAATCCCCCCACATGATTTAATAAAAGTCAAAGCTAATGATAATTTAAAATAATCCTAGATTGCATTGGATAATCCTGGGCAGGAGGATGGAGGAAGTACTATTGCACTCAATGCCAAAATAAAGCTGCGTTCTACAATTGTGGGAAGGTTATAACCGTCACTTTCCTCGCAGTTACCAGTAGAGCCTCAGACCACCTACTTATTTATCAGAACTACAGTTTCCGATCTACAGCAAGTATAAAGTTTTTGGGAATCGTTTGAAAGCTACAAAATGAAAGCATTTGTAAGTTTAATTGTGTCTAATACCCATATTTGTATGTTCCCTGACCCTTCCATAAGTAATCGAAACGGTTTAAGACAAAATCTGGGCAAAACCTTGACAAATCCAACATCTTCCGGCCAGAAGGATGGGCTGTCGTCTTCCGCCAAGCGAACTCCGGCTGACAGATGACTTGGAAGTGATGACCTGGCTCGGGGGCCAGGATAAATTGACCCCAAAAATGCTGAAGGTCAGCCGCAGAGATGGCTCATGAATTATTAAATACACAACAACAGCCCGTTGACCCTAATCCCGCAGCGGCTGCTGCCAATGATTGCAAAATGCTTAGCCAAATGGAACAAAATTCTGTGTGCGAAACTTTGGCCGGACCGCAAAGTGTCCTCCGAAGAAGACCCAACCGCAAATTTGCCCAGAAAGATGCTTTTTGACAACTTCAGGGCGAGAAGCGGGCGGAGAAAATTCTTTGACCATTTACGTTGGAAAATTCCTAGGCCCTTCTGCAAGTAGCACTTTAAATTAATGAACTGAGATTAAGCAAGACAAATTGTTGTGGGGACTCGGCTCCTGGGCTCCGGGGCTGAGGGGAGTGTGCTATAAAGGCAAATTGTTTTTCGTTTCTCGAAAATATATTAATTTGTATTCCCCAGTTTCCCGCCCTATATTTACAATTTACAATTTATTGTTATTGATATTTGTGTAAACAATTTTTCCAGGCCACTCCGGTACTCCGTTTTTCTCCGCCCAACGACACTGCAATTAAGAATTTAGGATCGGGGAAGGAGAGTTGAAAGAACTTCCTCGAGCTAGAGAGCCACAGAGGAAAGCAGTTGACAAGCCCGGAAAATTTACAATACCTGCAGCCATCCATTTCCCAGCTTTCTCGTTCCGGGGCATGCAAAATACATTCAGGCACTTTCACTTGTGGCTCCCGCCCAGGGAGGAGCTGCAAATCTCATGTGGAAAATGCAGTCAATAAAATGGCTCTCCATTTTTTCCTGGTTGGCAGCCAAGAAAATATTCATTGAATTTTGTAGTAACAAACGACAAGTTGTCAGTCAGCCAGTCATCCAGTGCAGTGAAAAACCAGACCAATTCCGGCGGAGAATTTATTGCCCGAGTGCTCGGACATGGAAACTCATCAGGGAACCGGTCGCAGGGAGAGACTCGCCGAGAATTATGCCATTAGATGTTTGATCCCGATTCAAGGTGATTTTTGTTCGGGCTGACTTGGCTTTGTTGGTCTAGCGACCAAGCCAAATAAATAAGCAATTTCCGACGACAACTCGGACAAGCATAAAGTGCAGCGAAGCAACAATTTCCACGGAAAAGTGGAAAAGTGGGCAACAGGCGCAGGACGAGCACAAGGACATTTGTGCAGCTTTAGCAAAAGCTCTTCCAAGTGCTTCTTAACTAAGCTTAAAAGCAATGCCGGCAGCAACTTCGATTTGTGGTGGAAATTGCAGTTCGGTCTTGGATGCTATCCCCCCTCCTTGACAACTTTCTTGCTGTTATTTGTTTTTATGGTTATTGTTGTTGTGGTTGTGGGCATCTCCCCAGGCTACCCGACTGTCGGTTAACTAAAGTGTGACAAAGTCGTCGTCGTTGCGGCTATTAGTTGGCTCCAAAGGTGGCCTGAAGGTTGCATCCGAGTGGGGTATGCAGTTTGCACAGAGTGGACTTCTATATTCTTCGTTAGACTGTGATAAACTTTTAAATCAAACTTTTTATTTAAATAAAGGGTAATCAGGTGTGGGTTCATTCCATGATTATAAAGGTAGACGAGCCTAATTGTCCTTCAGAACAGCCTTCTCCAGCACCTTGGCCAATTCAATAAGATCCCATTTACCCAAAGATGCAGCAATAAAGACATTGGCAGCTTAAGTCGGAAAACACCTGCGGACTGGAGTGGCTGGGAAGGAACATCCACTAAGCTCATTTGTGGTGGCAAGTAGCTGTCCTGGAAGCCGCTGAAATCCTTGGCCACCCAAGCGATTCAAAGTCGCGACATCCTTTTCACCTGCTTTCGACTTCGATGGGCGAAACTTTCGCTTAGCACGGCACGGAGATGTCCTCATTTGTGGTTAATTTTGTCTCGCAGCCCGAGTGCTTATCCCTCTGCCAACTGTTACGATTTCTAGTCTAAGGCGAAGTGGCGGGACACTGCAGCCAATGTCCTTGTGCTCCTTTTATTCGCCTAATTTCCGCTGCTTTGGCCCTGCTTTCCCCCGCTTTTCCAAGCGCTAATTGGAGACTCTGAAAATCTATAAACAGTCCTGGCAGTTTCGCAGTCCTTATCGTTGTCCTTGTACTTGCTTTCGGTATTTCGGCTTTCAGCCTGGCTCCATCTCCCTGCTCCTCGGACCTATTTAATGTGCGTCCTTAAGCACAATAAATCTGTTTATCTCCGGCAGAGTCCTGGACTTCTTTGGCTGGCGAGTCCTTGTTTGGTCCTCGCTATGCTCTGCTTAAAAGTTAACCTGGCCGGCGATAAAAAGTGTCCCTTTACTGCTGTTTGTGGTTTTCCCTCCTGAAGTCCTCAGCGGGTTGGCAGGCAAAATTTGTTAGCTATTTGTGGAGAATTATCCTTGTGGCAGGAGGAGGGGCCGAACATGACAGACTGGGGACTGAAGACTCCGCCCGGTAGCATCAATCATCGGCGGGGAAATTAAATTGCACTTCGGCTTACCTCAGGCTGAGGCAAGGCAGGCATGGTCAAACAAAAGGCACCGGACGAGCAATAGTTTTGAATTGGGGATTTTTCCAAAGACTACAAGATACCCTTACAAAAAATTCACTAAGGATGATACCTTTATTTAGGTTTTAAGTAAGGAAATCCAAGATACTGTTGACGTATAAATTAATTTTAATGTTTTTTTCGATTTTAGGACAAATTGTTTTCAGAATACCCTTCCAAAGACCCGAAGCAATAGAAGTGACAGACACTACGAACAAAGGGGAAGTACCTGGCAGGAGTAAAACAGACCTAGACAGTACCCGTATCCGGGCCTTTTCCCCGGAATTGTAACGTTGCCGAAATTCAAGCCAAAGAAGTGCCTTTCCAATGGCCATTTTCGTAGTTTTAGTTTTTCATTCAGGCGCAGAGGCACGTCTGTGGCTGAAACGATACTTTGGTAGGCTTTAAGACTGAAACACATTTTTCGCCCCTGCCAGTACCAGGATGGCTCGGACCCCCGAACCCAGAACCCCCACCGATCTGCGGTCATTGGCAAAGTCCAGCAACGCTCCCCACCACCTGGGCCATCAATTGCAACCGCAAAATGGCAAAACAATCAACAAGCAACGCGACGGGTGTTCGGCCCATACAAGATTTCGAGTGCCTAAACCATCCCCGACCTGTCACCCCTCGGCCGCCACTCCTCCCTCCTGCTGGAGCCTTTCAATTCACATTCCGAGCTACGCTCCACATGCCCCTTTCAACCGCAACGTGTTGCGAGTTAGGGGAGCCAGTGGTTTGGCCAAAATGCAAGACAAAGGAACCGAATGCGAGGATTAGGGTGGCAGGATGGGCCCAGTGTTTATGGAGGGGAGTGGCCGTGTGGGCGGCAATTGCTTAGATGGCCGCCATTCGGAATGGGATAGTTAGTCAAGTGAAATATGAGTCGGCATCACAGGAGGCAGCGACAGAGACACGCCACGTGTGTTCCGTGAAGGGCTTTAAGAAATTAAAGTGAAACTACGTAAAAAATGTACACAAAATCAAAAGAAGCAACTTGTTAATGATTAATTAAATCTCACTATCTTCTTAAAAAGTACCTTCATTCGGAGTACATCTTGTTTTCTACGCTTATCTAAATGTTGACCGTTTTTAATTAACAGATGGGCAGATGAAAAGTTCTATAAAAGGGATGAGTTAGGCGTTAGTTGGAGCTCTGAAAGAATCAGTTGCTAAAGTGTTTAAGACTTTGTAAAATGAGAAGTACGAACTTTCTAATCAATACCCCGGTTCTGAATAAACTTTTTTTTACAATTTTTCAATAGATTCCGCACGATGGACCATCATTCTAGGAGCCTGCATCCTACTAAGTCTTCAGGTTCTTGGTGACAAGATAGATGAAATTTGCTCTAAATGGTCGGGAAATAAAGGAAATTCTGGCAGCACCAACGACGATTTATTCCAAGTTGGACATAAAAGTGATGTCGCTTGCAAGATGGGATATGCCTCAGCTGCTGACAATCCCGGGTCAACTACGCGGTATATCACTGACGACACAACCTGCTACGGTTACTATGTCTGTGAATATGAGGCAGCTATTGGGATCTGGAACAGATGTCCCATGGATACCCAGTTTAACCCGGCGTTGGGAAAGTGCGTCAAGCCGTTTAATTACAGCTGCCCCTATAACCGATGCAACAATGTGTATGCAGCCTACATGGCAGTCGTAAATACCTACTGCACGGAGTACATGGAGTGTTCTACTGGAAGGAAGCTCTCCTGTCCTGTGAGTAGGCCCCATTACGACGAGGTCAACCAACAATGCTCTAATGTAGAGCCAAATTATGCTGTGTGCAATGAGCTCGCTATTGAATATTAATCTTTCTTTAGATGATTCGAAAAACTAATAAAAAGGTCAACCAGAATCTTTGAAGCTTTGAGTTAAAAGAGACTAATTAGAACATAGAAGATAATGTTTCAAGCATGTTTTGGAGGAAATTGTCACAATCTTATCATTTCTTGATAATTGGCTTTTAATTACCAAAGACAACTCACACATTAAGGGTCAGAAAATGGCTCTACAAAGGCTTGTCTGCTTAGTCTCAGGTTGAATCTTGGCAATTCCGTTCCATGTAATTCCATTTTATATCGCCACATTACCGGGGTATTCCCAAAAACCGCAAGCACAAGCCCCAAGCCGAAACCTATTTGTACACGGCAATCTAGGCAAATCGTTTTGTCGAGCTTAATTTGCCGTTGTCTAACCTGGCTGAAGTGGCCTTCCCGCCAAACACCCGCACAGCCAACCGGTTTCGGCCATCAGAGCTAATCCCAACTGACTTGGCCGGGAAAGTTTCTCCGCTGCGGAAGGCGCCGGTGGAAACTCGGTCATCGGGAGTCTCCCCGGCAGGGCTGTGCCCGGAAGGAGGAAGCAGCCAAGTGTTGTGCTGCATTGTGCTTTGTTTTGGCCATTTGAGAATTTGAGCATTTGGCTGGGACCGAGCGAGCCCAATTGACAATAGTTTTGCGCAAACTTCGGAGGAGCCAGTTGCAGTTGACTGCCCGAGACGCGGCAGTGAATAAACAGGGGGGTCGAGCTGGGGAAAATCCAAGGAAAACAACGCCGAGGAAGGCGTTGGGTAATTGTAATTCCTGCTCTTAAATGCCAGCTAACCAGTTGGCCTTGTTGGCCAATTACTTTGCTCCGAAGTAGGGACTTCTTGGGAGAGCTCTCCTGCCTTCCCGGAAGCCTTCATAATGAGCGAACAAATTCAATTGCCATTTGTTTCTTCGACAGCCTAATGGCTTTCTAAGAGCCACTTTTAACTGGCAGTGGTGCAATTGATTTATACAAATTTAATAAGCATCGAGTGCACTGGGAAAAATACCGTAAGCTAATTCTCTCATACTGAATTTTAAACAAAAGCTATTATCTTCAGTGTAACCTGAAGAGGTAAAGTATTTAAAAACTTTTTGGAAAACGATATTTTAATGCATTCATTGCGCCTCGACTTTTGTTCAAATGGCTGAAACTAATAAACGGGGCGATGGAAAATGGAATGTCCGGGGGTCAAAGAGGTCAGGAGGCCCACCCACCCACTTGGCCAGCTGCCGCCAGGAAAAAACTTCGGGCATCAAGTGAAAAACAAGTGGACAGGCAGCTGATGTTGACACGGTTTTGTTAGCCCTTTTTTTCGACGGGCCATGTGTCTGGGCGGGGGTGGACAGTTTTAGTGTCAGGAGCTGTAACGGTAAATTGCATCCACAGGAGCAGCAACAACTGTTACGCCGCTAGGTGGCGACACCATCCAGGCAATCAAACTCGGCGGAGGCAACAGCTGGAAAGGTTATCCTGGCGAGGAAGTTTTTTGGGCAGCAACCAAGATAAATGGACTGGCTGGAGCGAAATATGAAAAGCCGGCAAGTGAGCAAGTTGCCATGAATATATGAGGTTGAGAGGACTGGAACGACTCTGCAAAGTTCGCAAAGTAAATGATGAATTCGATTTTTTCATTTAATTAAGCTCCCAGTTGAACAGTCACAACAATAGTTGATTCTCTTGTCAAAATTCTACCATAGAAAATCGAAATCCACATAGTTTTCTTAGAACCCGATTCCCCATTTAGTACCTCGTCATTTTTCTAGCACCAAATTCCAACACAACCCCGTGAATACATCCGAAATTATTGTGTTTTCGCGGTTTCGCGAGTGTCAGGTTAAGAGCGCTCCACCTTTCAGGTAAACAGGACAAAAGAGCTGATCTCAAGGGCCACTGACTTAAAGACCAAGGAAACGATCGTAGGGAGAAACCAAATTCGAGCACCGTTGTTGAATCCTTGAGCTGTAAATGGGTCGCACAAATGTTTACTAAAATTCTCATTGATAAAATGGACAAGAAGGCCTCGCAGCGACAGCAACACCCCCAGCCGACTATGTCCAAATCCATGTACTATCCTATGAGAGTTACGCCCCACCATGAGAAATCCGCCACGGGAGGCATGGGTGTTGGAGCTTCCAACGCATCCAGGCCGGCTTCCGGAACGAGAATTTCCGCCACCACGCCGACAACGACGTCGAATACCTCGCACAAAGACCGCTCCACCCGCCAGCTAACCAGGAAGACAACCAATCCACCGCCAGGCGAACGGGAGGAGGTGATGATGAACAGGTACTTTAACAGCAAAAGCTCCATGATGAACTCGAGCCTTCACGCCTCCGTTCCGAGTCGCCACCAGCAGCAGCAGCAACAGCAGCTCTCCAGGACGACTGTGGATCTCTCCGAGAAACTGGCCAAAATCAACCGGCGGGCGGCCATCAAGGAGCTTTCGGCTCTGCAGCAAAAGAACATGCAGTCCAATGACAAGAACGAGGAGGCCCTCAAGGACCTTCAGGAGAGCATTCCGGAGATAAGCAAGATCTTTGATGTGCACTGCCGCATCGGAAGCGGCACGTTCAGCACTGTGCTGATGGGCACCCTGCAGCGCGAAAGGAACTTAGGGGAGACCCAGAGGCGGCGGTTCGCCATCAAGCACCACAACCCCACCAACCACCCGGAGCGCATCCTGCGGGAGCTCGAGTGCATGTTCCGCATCGGCGGGGTGGACAATGTGATCGGCATCAACTGTTGCATCCGGTACAACGACAACGTGGCCTTCGTCATGCCCTACATGACCCACGACCGGTTCCACGACATATACCGGCAGCTCAGCCTGCAGGAGGTGCGCGACTACCTGCGGAACCTGCTGATAGCCCTGCGGCATGTCCACAAGTTCAATGTGATCCACAGGGACGTGAAGCCAAGCAACATCTTGTTCAACCGACGGACGGGCAAGTTCCTGCTGTGCGACTTCGGCCTGGCCCAGAGGTTAGCGGAGGACGGCTCCGTGGTGCCGTCGAACGAGCTCAACTCTCACGCCGTGTCGGCCCTGATGAAGGACATGGAGAAGAGCAGGAGCGCCGGAGCCTTGCAGGATGGTAACTCGGCCCAGGCTGAAGCGGAGGACTACATGGCGAATCGCCGGGTGCGGGCCCAGGGCGGCGGCGTCAGCTCGGCTGCGGTGGATCCGATGGCGAACTTGCAGAAGCTGCGGGAACAAATCAGCGCCCACCTCTCTAAGAAGGATATTGCCGCCCAGAAGGCGGACACGGCGCGCCTGGTGAACCGCCTGCGCCTGACCAGCCCGAATGTGGACCCCAACGGCTACGTGCTCCCCACGAACAACACCAAGAAGGATATGCACGCCTCGCGAGCCGGCACTCCAGGCTATCGGCCGCCCGAGGTACTGTTGCGGCATCCCCACCAAACCACGGCGGTGGATATCTGGGCTGCCGGGGTGATAATGCTATCGATGCTCTCGGCCCTGCATCCGTTTTTCAAGGCTCCCAACGACTGCGCAGCTCTCTCCGAGATCATTAACCTGTTTGGAGACATCACGGTGCGAAAGACGGCCTTCATGCTGGACCGGCTGATCATGCTCAGCCAGAAAGTGTCTGCCCTGGACCTGCGGCGGGTGTGCATGCGCTTCCGATACGCGGACTTCTTTCTGGCGCCCGAGCTGCACAGGCGCCATCGGCGCGCCGACGGCAGCACCGAGCTGTGCCGAAATTGCGAGCAGCCGACCTTCAACTGTCTGTGCCGGCACAGCGGCCACCACCTGGAAATGTACGACGGACTGGACATCTTCCCCGCCAACGCCTATGACCTGCTCGCCCGTCTGTTGGAGGTCGATCCCCAGAAGCGGATCTCCGCCGAGGAGGCGCTGAAGCACCCGTTCTTCAGCGACCACCACAGGATAACGTCGGGCATGCCGGTGATCAGCCCACACATCCAGCAGCACCAGCACCAGCTGAAGGCTAGGGAGACGTTGCCGTCAGGGACAAGTCCGGGGCGCACACTTCAGCCGTACGTGTCCTTCCCCTCAGATCTGACCGCCGCGTCAGCCACTGTGGTGACCTCTGCAACCATGGCAGGAGAAGCATCTGTGACAGGAGAACCCGGATTAGCAGAAACTCTGGTGGTCGCTTCTTCCACCCCGACTGCGGCAAATGTTTGATTTTGCACTGCGCCCATATTTGTTGTGTGTATGGTGTTACGTTGGCTTTCCTTACATTTTGGACTTGAAAGCGAAAGAGCTGGAGCGGGGAGGTGGGAGGGTGGCGGGTAACGTTGTTGTTATTGACCCCGCCTGTTGGGCCCCTTCGGCCTTTTCGGGCTTCAAGGACGAAGCAGTTATTCCTCAGCCCCTTGTGAACGACGAAATTTTTATTGTGAAAAAATATAACAAAAAAAAGATAATTAAGGTGGAGGTTTTTTAAATTTTCATCGCAGTCCAAAGGCAAATTTTTGTTTTTGTTGAATTTCCCAAGATTCTCTTCTCAAAAAATAACAAAAAGAAGGAAACCTTTTTTTCTTTTCAATTAACATCTTGGGTCGAAATTGTTTGGTTTTCCGCACATTTGCATTCCTGGCCAAAAATGTAATTTATTGACAGCCAACTTTAAAATAAAATCATAATCAGATGGAATTATAATTAGAATTAAGGCTGAAACCATTGAAATGATTGGATGTTATTGGCAGACAAACAAGGCAAAAAGTGCATTATATTACTCATTTTGAAATTATTTTAATCTGGATTGTCAATTCCATATTTTTTACCTTTCATGTCCAATTATCGCGTGGCAATCTTGCTACTTTTTCAACATTTTCCCGACAGCCATTTACCCAATTGGAATACTTCTCTGACGGCCTATCAATTCGCATTACTTTCTGAAAAAAATATTATCTTTGTTTTTCCTCGAAAAGGTAACGTCAAAACCAGTTTTCACTTGAATAGAGACTATTATTTTTTTGGGGAATTTTTTTTGTCCGATGGCAGAGAAATTTTCTCAGGGTCCTGCAAAGGACTCGAACGCTTATAGGCGACAGTGTGTGTGTGTGAAAGAAGACACTTTTCGGCTCTTGGCAAGTCACCAAGAAAGTAAGTTCCATCTGCCGACACTGCAGAATAGTTTATTAAAAAGTTGATCGAGGAAGCCAATTCAGACCCTCTAATGTATGCTACACATTATTTTTTCTGCTGATGGTGGTTCAATTACATACTTTTAGGATGCGGTCTTATACACATAGTGCATCATGGAGTTTAGATTGTTAAACCTAATCTGTTATTAAAGCAACAAATAAAGCTCCTTTCCAACCTGTTTGTCGGCATTTTTACACTCTTCCGCCTTCCACGAACAGAAGGACACAGAGGGCTTTTAGGGGATCGACATGGCAGCCTCGTTGGCCAGTGACAACTGTGGCACTGCCAGTCCAAAGGACACTCAGTTTTTGTCCTGCACTTCCAGAAAATGATTGCACAGCCATATAAGATAGCCTTTAGAAACTCATGCTTACAAGTTTCAGGTTAAAAATTTTCTTAAAGCTCTATTTATACATAGTTAGAGATTATTATTTGAAAAAACTTTCCAAAAACCACAAAACCATCGTTCTCAGTGTACTATTACACGAAGAAAAACAACTCTCCGCGGAGCCATAAACATTTCTAGTGCTGCCCCGTCCACTCAGCCGCAAAAGCCGCGTGCGCAACTCGCCGGACACAATGCGGCTTATCAACACGGAAAAAAGGATGCCCTGGAACGGGAGTGGTCAAGGGGAGGGGCTAAAGAGACGGCACTCCCTTTACAGCCAGTGCCACATCCTAGTGTCCCCGCATCCTGGCCTCCCGTTCGGCGCTTTATGGCTCATGATAGATTAGTCCGGCCGCAGGTGTAACCAGTTGCGGCTTTTTCGGTGGTTCCTGTTGGCTTCTCTCCTGCCCAGCGTGGACAGGACTTCCGCCTCGTCCTTTGTTGCGTTCCCCGATAGCGGCGCACGTAATTAAGTAATTAGACGAGGCAGCTCTGTAAGCCGCCTGGCAAAATGGGTGTATATGCGGCTGAGTGGGATTTGCATTTTTTGAAATAGTGGAGAGGTGGTTTTTGTGGCAAGGATGTTCCTTGGGAGACAAAAAGAATATTGAAATTAAAACCAAACCAAAGCTCTGACAAGGATAACGAAATTTTTTGCTTTAATTACTTTTTCATGTGTGGTATTTAAATATTTCTCTGAATCCTTTTTGCGTTGGCGCTGAAATGTAGGCAGCACATTAAGGAGAAAAAAATTGAAAGAAAATACCACCGGGGTGCAATGTCCTGGAACCGCAAGCTCCGCTTGACTGTTGACTCCGTAGTGCCCCCGTCCGCTTCCTCCTGGCGCCAGCTCCCGCGTCCTCCCTATTCATCCTCCTCAGTGGCGCATTTCTGCTGTCAGTTGGATGTTTGTTTGTCCGCCTGTCGCGCTTTGTTTGCTTTCCGCATGCGTTGCCCATTCACCTAGTCCCCCCGCCAGCTCTTCTTCGAAGGACCACCCACCCACCTTCGTCGTCCTCCCACTCGTCCAAGGATGTGCAGATGTGCAGAATGGAGCTACATCGATGATGATGATGATGCTGAGCCAGCGCCAGAGCCAGAACCAGAGCCAGAGTGAACAGCAGCTGACATCCTATCCTGGTGTCGGGTCACTAAATGAAGAATGATGGACGCAGGACGAGACAGAGATGGCAGCATTCCGGGCGACAGGGACGGGAATATAGAGGTCCGAATTCCAGGAATATTTTGTCATCTTCAAATGGGATTTATGCAGCATGCGGCAAGGTGTCATTGTCATTCGCCAGTGGTTTCTTTTCTTCCACGTCCATGTTATGCTCCACTTCAGGGCGTCAACTTTAAAGTAATTGGAAATTTTTAGCCACTTCCCCGGCTTCCACCTACTATTCTTGTTGTTGCTGGCCAATCGTGAAATTTCCTGGACAAAATATGGATTTATGTCGCCGGCAATGGCAGCAACAACAGCGAAACGGGGCACTATTACAACAATGCCATTTTACCAGAACACCAACAGTGGGTTGGGGTAAAGGATGGAAATCGAAACACAAGCCTGTGGAAGGAAGGTCATCACGATTTCTCACAGTGTAATCCGCGCCCCATGCCACCTTCGGCCGCTCCACTTCATGGTTGTCAGCTGCTGGCTGTTGGCAATGCATCACTGATTATGAAAAGCTTGCTAAAAGCTGGACTCGTGATATATTGCTTTGTTGTTGCCCCCGCTGTGTTGCATGTTACTGCTGCTGCTGCTGCTGGTCTTGGTGTTGCTGTTTTGCGGTATCATTGCCGCTGATGCGACTGCCAGATGTTAACGGCATTCTATTGCCATCATCGCACGTAAGCGACACGACACAATAATGAAGTTTTATGCTTTGCCACCTGCAATACATACTCATCCAGTAGGTGGCAGGTTGAGGGGCGGCTGGAGGGACAGCTGGAGGGGCTGAGCAGTAGCAGGAACAACAAAAGTTGCAATCAACTGAAAATGCTGGCGATTCTTTTGACTTTTATGTGCCCGATAAGCACCCAGCCACCCACAGTTCGAGCGCGGAGCTGTCGGGGAGTTCGTTAAGGGAAACCTCATCAATAATACCTGAAACCGGTCACTGGGAAGTTAGATCCACAGAGCAAGAAGCTCGGGGAACCGCGTATCGCTACATAATGAGAAATAATCATCCGAGTGCGGTGCATGATTCTTGCGGACTCACAAGTATTTATGACAGCTTAGGGATATTTTGCTTTAATTGCTAAAGATTTTATGATTGCAGGAGTTGAGAGGGGAGCTTCTATAGAGAGGAAAGTTATCCTTATAAGAATAAATATTAAATAACCCCATCCTTGTTAAAGTTCCATTTCAAAAAATGTAAATAAAGACTCGAAAAAGAAATGTATAAACCGTCAAAGGATCTGTCAACGTCAAAGGACCCTTGGCACTTAATTTTCCACTCATTTTTAATTATTAACCCACATAACCTCTTATGGAAGTACACATAAATTAAACAATTGGCCCAACCCAGCCCAGGCCCGCACAGCCCCACCCAGCTCAGCTCACCTGCAGAGGTGTGAGCTGACATGACGTCAGGCGGCATTAACGACAGCAATGGAAGCAACAGCCAGCCGCGCTAAGCCAGAAACTTCAGGTGACAACTGACAAGATTAATTAACTGCCGCCAACAGAACAGAGCAAAAATAAACCAGGAGCGCATTACGGAATGGGGACACGACAGCAGGACGACAGGACAATGGAACATAACTGAACATGACCATGAAACTGTTGTGAAATCACAAACTGTCCAGCCCAACACCCCGCCACTCGTCACACGTCCGGCATGCTCGTCCTCGCCAGGCTCCAGGAAGACAATCCCCGCGCCTAAATGACAATGGCCAAAGTTGCCGCCGCCAGGTTTCGTTTTCCTAATTTTAATTAGCCGCAACAGGAGACCACAACAAGTGGCAAAGGTGGTTTCAAGTTCCTAATACCCTCTAGTTAGATATTACTCTTTAATATAGTGACTCCTAGTGATATATTATTTTGAGTTTTAATATTTTACAGACATTAAACTCCTCTAATTTCAAGTCCTTCTAGATAACAAAATAGTGACCAGAACATACCCCATTTCCAGGGTAGTCCTGCCAGAATTTATCCCCATACTGTTGCGCGAGAGGTGTGCTGGGCGCTGTGCAGGTGCGTGTAGCATTTATGAACTCGTTACACGTAATTAGGGTCAGTGTGTCTCGCCCCATCTCTTTTCCCAGGGATACACCTATCTCCCTCGACCGATCTACCGCTGCGAGTGTGAGTGTGTGTGTGTGAGCCAAGTGACAATTAATTACCGAACTGCAGCCGCGGCAGTAGGGATTAAAAAGGGGCCACAACCGGGGACTATTGAAATACAAAACCGCGTTTTTGGGCGCCGCCGCCAAAGTCATAAAGCTTCCTTCGAATGACTTTAATTAGGGGTGAGATGGAGCTGGAACCGGATCAGGACCTGGCGCTGCCGTAGGAGTAGGAGCTCAGTTCAGGTGGCACGCCCCGCCAACGAGCGAACTATTTATTATGGGATTTTCATGCATGTTGAGTGGGTGTGTCCTCTTGGTCCTGCCGGCCACCTTAATTGGCAGTGGCCGGCCGCTTTTAATTAGTTTTTGCAACGCTTGAAGCCTGTTCCCTGTTGCCTGTGTCCTGTACAGTGTTTCCTGTGCCCTACTCCCTATTTCCTCCGCTTCATGCGTGAATTATTATGCCCGGTGTAATATATTTTATAAAAACCCCCCGCCAGCTCCTGGCCAGGCCAAATTATGCAACAGTGAATTTTTAGCCCACACTGTGTGTGTGAAGCTGGTGGCATCGATGCCGCCAAACTTAATTGAGTT